TGAGCTGGCAGGTGTCTCGCCCGGCCTCATGCCGAAATGTAGTCCAGGACCTGCTGAGTGCCGCACCTCAGGACACCTCCTACAGGAGACCCAGGGTGCCTTTCCACACAGTGGTGTTCACTGAGAGGAAGCCTTCTACGGGAGACGCTCTGGTGCTTAGCCTTGGTCTCTCTGCCGACGGAGCCAACACCATACAAGACATTGCCTCCAAAAACCAAGTGAGAATCCAGGGTATTGCGCTTTATAGAGGTGATAAACGTCGTGTGGATCAGTCATTGTAAGGAACTGTGATGAGCGAGACGTGTGCAATACTTCGCTCTAGTTATTTAGCAACGTTTCCTTTACACACCAGGATTGTTTCAGTCAAATACAATAGTGAATAAAATTGTAGTCATGTTCCACTCCTTCATGTTCCACTCCTTCATGTTCCACTCCTTCATGTTCCACTCCTTCATGTTCCACTCATTCATGTTCCACTCCTTCATGTTCCACTCCTACATGCTTCACTCCTTTATGTTCCACTCCTTCATGTTCCACTCCTTCAGTTCCACTCCTTCATGTTCCACTCCTTCATGTTCCACTCCTTCATGTTCCACTCCTTCATGTTCCACTCCTTCATGTTCCACTCCTTCATGTTCCACTCCTTCATATTCCACTCCTTCATGTTCCACTCCTTCATGTTCCACTCCTTCATGTTCCACTCCTACATGCTTCACTCCTTTATGTTCCACTCCTTCATGTTCCACTCCTTCATGTTCCACTCCTTCATGTTCCACTCCTTCATGTTCCACTCCTTCATGTTCCACTCCTTCATGTCCACTCCTTCATGTTCCACTCCTTCATGTTCCACTCCTTCATGTTCCACTCCTTCATGTTCCACTCCTTCATGTTCCACTCCTTCATGTTCCACTCCGTCATGTTCCACTCCTTCATGTTCCACTCCTTCATGTTCCACTCCTTCATGTTCCACTCCTTCATGTTCCACTCCTTCATGTTCCACTCCTTCATGTTCCACTCCTTCATGTTCCACTCCTTCATGTTCCACTCCTTCATGTTCCACTCCTTCATGTTCCACTCCTTCATGTTCCACTCCTTCATGTTCCATTCCTACATGCTTCACTCCTTCATGTTCCACTCCTTCATGTTCCACTCCTTCATGTTCCACTCCTACATGCTTCACTCCTTTATGTTCCACTCCTTCATGTTCCACTCCTTCATGTTCCACTCCTTCATGTTCCACTCCTTCATGTTCCACTTCTTCATGTTCCACTCCTTCATGTTCCACTTCTTCATGTTCCACTTCTTCATGTTCCACTTCTTCATGTTCCACTTCTTCATGTTCCACTTCTTCATGTTCCACTCCTACATGTTCCACTTCTTCATGTTCCACTCCTTCATGTTTCACTCCTTCATGTTCCACTCCTTCATGTTCCACTCCTTCATGTTCCACTCCTTCATGTTCCACTCCTTCATGTTCCACTCCTTCATGTTCCACTCCTTCATGTTCCACTCCTTCATGTTCCACTCCTTCATGTTCCACTCCTTCATGTTCCACTCCTTCATGTTCCACTCCTTCATGTTCCACTCCTTCATGTTCCATCCTACATGCTTCACTCCTTCATGTTCCACTCCTTCATGTTCCACTCCTTCATGTTCCACTCCTACATGCTTCACTCCTTTATGTTCCACTCCTTCATGTTCCACTCCTTCATGTTTCACTCCTTCATGTTCCACTCCTTCATGTTTCCACTTCTTCATGTTCCACTCCTTCATGTTCCACTTCTTCATGTTCCACTTCTTCATGTTCCACTTCTTCATGTTCCACTTCTTCATGTTCCACTTCTTCATGTTCCACTCCTACATGTTCCACTTCTTCATGTTCCACTCCTTCATGTTCCACTCCTACATGTTCCACTCCTTCATGTTCCACTCCTACATGTTCCAGTTCTTCATGTTCCACTCCTTCATGTTCCACTCCTTCATGTTCCACTCCTTCATGTTCCACTCCTTCATGTTCCACTCCTTCATGTTCCACTCCTTCATGTTCCACTCCTTCATGTTCCACTCCTTCATGTTCCACTCCTTCATGTTCCACTCCTTCATGTTCCACTCCTTCATGTTCACTCCTTCATGTTCCACTCCTTCATGTTCCACTCCTTCATGTTCCATTCCTACATGCTTCACTCCTTCATGTTCCACTCCTTCATGTTCCACTCCTTCATGTTCCACTCCTACATGCTTCACTCCTTTATGTTCCACTCCTTCATGTTCCACTCCTTCATGTTCCACTCCTTCATGTTCCACTCCTTCATGTTCCACTTCTTCATGTTCCACTCCTTCATGTTCCACTTCTTCATGTTCACTTCTTCATGTTCCACTTCTTCATGTTCCACTTCTTCATGTTCCACTTCTTCATGTTCCACTCCTACATGTTCCACTTCTTCATGTTCCACTCCTTCATGTTCCACTCCTACATGTTCCAGTTCTTCATGTTCCACTTCTTCATGTTCCACTTCTTCATGTTCCACTCCTTCATCTTCCACTCCTTCATCTTACACTCCTTCATGTTCCACTTCTTCATGTTCCACTTCTTCATGTTCCAATTCTTCATGTTCCACTTCTTCATGTTCCACTTCTTCATGTTCCACTCCTTCATGTTCCACTCCTACATGTTCCACTTCTTCATGTTCCACTCCTTCACTTCCACCCCTTTCATCTTACACTCCTTCATGTTCCACTTCTTCATGTTCCACTTCTTCATGTTCCAATTCTTCATGTTCCACTTCTTCATGTTCCACTTCTTCATGTTCCACTCCTTCATGTTCCACTCCTACATGTTCCAGTTCTTCATGTTCCACTTCTTCATGTTCCACTTCTTCATGTTCCACTCCTTCATCTTCCACTCCTTCATCTTACACTCCTTCATGTTTCACTCCTTCATGTTCCACTCCTTCATGTTCCACTCCTACATGTTCCAGTTCTTCATGTTCCACTTCTTCTATGTTCCACTTCTTCATGTTCCACTCCTTCATGTTCCACTCTTACATTACCAGTTCTTCATGTTCCACTTCTTCATGTTCACTCCTTCATCTTCCACTCCTTCATCTTACCTCCTTCATGTTTCACTCCTTCATGTTCCACTCCTTCATGTTCCACTCCTACATGTTCCAGTTCTTCATGTTCCACTTCTTCATGTTCCACTCCTACATGTTCCACTTCTTCATGTTCCACTCCTTCATGTTCCACTCCTACATGTTCCAGATCTTCATGTTCCACTTCTTCATGTTCCACTTCTTCATGTTCCACTCCTTCATCTTCCACTCCTTCAACTTACACTCCTTCATGTTCCACTTCTTCATGTTCCACTTCTTCATGTTCCAATTCTTCATGTTCCACTTCTTCATGTTCCACTTCTTCATGTTCCACTCCTTCATGTTCCACTCCTACATGTTCCAGTTCTTCATGTTCCACTTCTTCATGTTCCACTCCTTCATCTTCCACTCCTTCATCTTACACTCCTTATGTTTCACTCCTTCATAGTTCCACTCCTTCATGTTCCACTCCTACATGTTCCAATTCTTCATGTTCCACTTCTTCATGTTCCACTTCTTCATGTTCCACTCCTCATGTTCCACTCCTACATGTTCCAGTTCTTCATTTTCCACTTCTTCATGTTCCACTCCTCATCTTCCACTCCTTCATCTTACACTCCTTCATGTTTCACTCCTTCATGTTCCACTCCTTCATGTTCTACTCCTACATGTTCCAGTTCTTCATGTTCCACTTCTTCATGTTCCACTTCTTCATGTTCCACTTCTTCATGTTCCACTCCTTCATCTTCCACTCCTTCATCTTACACTCCTTCATGTTCCACTTCTTCATGTTCCACTCCTTCATGTTCCACTCCTACATGTTCCAGTTCTTCATGTTCCACTTCTTCATGTTCCACTCCTTCATCTTCCACTCCTTCATCTTACACTCCTTCATGTTCCACTCCTACATGTTCCAGTTCTTCATGTTCCACTTCTTCATGTTCCACTTCTTCATGTTCCACTCCTTCATCTTCCACTCCTTCATCTTACACTCCTTCATGTTCCACTTCTTCATGTTCGACTTCTTCATGTTCCACTTCTTCATGTTCCACTTCTTCATGTTCCACTTCTTCATGTTCCACTCCTTCATGTTCCACTCCTTCATGTTCCACTCCTTCATGTTCCACTCCTTCATGTTCCACTTCTTCATGTTCCACTTCTTCATGTTCCACTTCTTCATGTTCCACTTCTTCATGTTCCACTCCTTCATGTTCCACTTCTTCATGTTCCACTTCTTCATGTTCCACTCCTTCATCTTCCACTCCTTCATCTTCCACTCCTTCATGTTCCACTTCTTCATGTTCCACTTCTTCATGTTCCACTCCTTCATGTTCCACTCCTACATGTTCCAGTTCTTCATGTTCCACTTCTTCATGTTCCACTCCTTCATCTTCCACTCCTTCATCTTTACACTCCTTCATGTTCCACTCCTACATGTTCCAGTTCTTCATGTTCCACTTCTTCATGTTCCACTCCTTCATCTTCCACTCCTTCATCTTACACTCCTTCATGTTCCACTCCTACATGTTCCACTTCTTCATGTTACACTTCTTCATGTTCCACTTCTTCATGTTCCACTCCTTCATCTTCCACTCCTTCATGTTCCACTCCTTCATGTTCCGCTTCTTCATGTTCCACTTCTTCATGTTCCACTTCTTCATGTTCCACTTCTTCATGTTCCACTCCTTCATGTTCCACTCCTTCATGTTCCACTCCTTCATGTTCCACTTCTTCATGTTCCACTTCTTCATGTTCCACCTCTTCATGTTCCACTCCTACATGTTCCAGTTCTTCATGTTCCACTTCTTCATGTTCCACTTCTTCATGTTCCACTCCTTCATCTTCCACTCCTTCATGTTCCACTCCTTCATGTTCCACTCCTTCATGTTCCACTTCTTCATGTTCCACTTCTTCATGTTCCACTCCTTCATCTTCCACTCCTTCATCTTCCACTCCTTCATGTTCCACTTCTTCATGTTCCACTTCTTCATGTTTCACTCCTTCATGTTCCACTCCTTCATGTTCAACTTCTTCATGTTCCACTTCTTCATGTTCCACTCCTTCATGTTCCACTCCTTCCTGTTCCGCTTCTTCATGTTCCACTTCTTCATGTTCCACTCCTTCAT